AACACCACCTAGCAGCACAACTCGTAACTACAAAGCATGCGCGCGCAACAGGTCGGTTCCAGTTATTTTTGGGTCCCCCTTCATACCAGCAGAATTATTAAAGGCAGGAGGACAAGAAGGAATAATAGCGCTCCACAGAATTATAAATAAAGTGTGGGAAGAAGAAAAGATACCAGAAGATTGGGGAAAGAGCATTATATGTCCCATATTTAAAAAAGGGGATAAATTAACATGTAGTAACTATAGAGGCATATCATTACTACCGACAGCATATAAAATTTTAACAAGGATACTAAAAAAGAGACTGGATCCATATATAGAAAAAATAATAGGGGAATATCAACCAGGGTTTCAACCCAATAGGTCAACAATAGACAATTTATTCACTCTGAGACAAATAACGGAGAAATGCTGGGAATTTAATATAGATATTTACCTATGCTTCATAGATTTTAAACAAGCATATGATACAATAATAAGGAAGAAATTAAGGATGATTATGTCCACTTTTGGTATTCCAACAAAACTAAGTAGAATAATTAACTTAACCATGACAGAAACAATCAATCAAGTTAACATCCAGAACCAGGTAACAGAATGCTTTAACACACATCAAGGATTAAAACAGGGTGATAGTTTGGCATCATCACTATTTAATTTGGTATTGGAATATATAGTGAGGAAATGTAATATAGACACAAGGAACACAATAGCGTATAAACAAACCAAATAATGGCGTATGCAGATGATATTATTATAGTATTGAGATCCCTAAGAGCAATGAAGGAGACATATAAAGAAATAAAAAACCATAGCAAAAACAACTGGCTTAGAGGTGAATGTAAATAAAACTAAAATGCTGATACAATGTAGAAGGAATCCAAGGCAAACTGGAGAAATTAACATGGAAGGGGGTGGGATAGAAATAGTTGAAGACTTCATATATTTAGGATCGAAATACCACAAAGATGGAGAGGAAAATCATGAAATAACAAGAAGAATAAAACTAGTGAATAGTGCATATTTCTCGTTACTATCAGTTTCTAGATCAAAGGATATACACTGAGCGATTAAAACAAAAATATATAAAACAATGATAAGACTGGTGCTTTATTATGGATGTGAGGGCTGGACGCTAAACAAGAAAGAGGAATCAGTCATCAATTCTTTTGAGAGAAAAATCCTAAGATGAATTCTGGGATATGGAGAATAAGATATAATAAAGAGTTATACAAATTATATAAGGAGCCAGAGATCTCAGTGATGATAAAGCTTAAAAGACTGCAATGGACTGGGCATGTACAGAGAATGGATAAGGAGCATATCCCAAAGAAAATATTATACAGTACAATAGGTTGTAGGAGACGTGCTGGGAAACCAAGAACTAGATGAATTGATGCGCTGGAAGAAGATGTAAAGAAGTTAATGGGCGTAAGGAACTGGACGAGAGCAGGGCAGGATAGAGAGGAATGGAGGGGCTTGATAAGGAAGGCCAAGGCCCAACATCGGGCTGTTGCGCCATAGAAGAAGAAGAAGAAGAAGAAGAAGAAGAAGAAGAAGAAGAAGAAGAGTGTGAATGGTGTAAACCTGCAATAGTGTAATAAATAAGTGTAGTTAAGGCTAGTGAAGATCTAATAAAACCAATTACCAATCTGGACTACGTCTCCAGTCACCCAAACATGTTACAATATTATGATAAATCCTTTATTGTTACAGGTAAACGGTTAAATACCTTAATCCCAGTCTTTATAGCACATAAAATGCACATTCACAGCTAATAGCAGAGTCTAGAAAACTATTTTGATGAGATTAGTATTGAACTGATCGCTTTTACCCATCCTCTGGTACAAATTCAGTTCAGCTTTTTGAATCAGACACCGAAGTCCATGATAAAGCAGAGTCTGCACAGGCTTGTATAGCATTCTATGCAGAAAAAGATTAATATTATTCTGGATGTGTAGAGCATGTCCTTCCATAGCAAAAGGTCAACAGTTTTCATTTGTGAAGAGATGAGGCAAATGGCAAGTGAACCCATTATTTTCCAGCTAAAAAATTGTGGTGCCAAAGAGAATGGAATGTAAAAATCTCTGTGACTGGGGTGATAGCAACTCTTAAAATGGTATGTTCGTAAGAAAATTACATGACATTCCTTGTTGCATAGGAAATGTCTATAAGTAAAGGTACATTTTTTAATCATGATCAGATAAGGCAAGTAGTAAAATACCTACTTACCTTGTAGCTCAGGAGTGTGGCCTATGAAATATTTTGTGCTTTAGATAATGGCATGTTCACCATCACATCACACATATCTTCTTGCTACCACTAAATCTTAATGCTGATGTCAAATTTATCACATTGATTTCTGCATTCTTTGCACGCCACAACTAACATGATATGTTAAAAGGTGAGTTTCTCAAACAGAATTAAAAACAAAACAAAACATATCATCTGGATAACTGACAGTTAAAATTATACCCACCTAACTGCATTCACATCTGCATGATACTCCTGAAAGCCTACTTCAATGTCTGGCTCTACTTTCACTTCTACCACTTCCTGTGGTTCAACCTAGAATGAAAACTACCATAAATCAACAATCCACCCATACTGTAGTGATACTTTAACATAGTTAAAGAACAACAATGACGACAATAACAACAGCAACAGTAACATACGTCACATACAGACCTGCTGCTAGGCAACTACCGTGAAATAGACAAGACAGCGGCCGTTGCTAGGCAGCAGCCCGCATGTAACAATGGAAGTACTATTGGAAGCAATATTTTCAATGTGGTCCTCTCCGAAGCTATACCACTCAACCAATCGAGTTCAGTTCAGTTATGTGGCTTTGACTTCAGCTTAACAGTCTTCACACCCATGTGGAGGCGGGGTCAAATACCTCCACCGTGACCTTGCGAGTAGTAGGAGGCAATGAAAAGGTAAGTCTCAACTCTGAGATGGTAAAATATGGTCGTGAGTCCCAAGGGACTTGGACCCGAGAAAGACTATGCTGGCAAGGGCCAGCAGCATATACAAAATACAGACACCTCCTCTCATCAGAGAGGGCACCCCACAAAACAAGACTGTAACTTTCGAACAGTAATAAATATCTGGTCATGAGCCCCAGATGGGGCTCAACACCAAGACTTTCTGATTGACTGAGTGTCAGTTGCAATATGACTCAGTTCAGATAGTCAGTGGAAGAAGTGAGTTTGCTGGTTAGTTAATGGGCTTGTTAGAGGACTACTATGGTTCAGTAGTTGTGAGTTGTTGCTGTTAGAAGCTAGTGGCTGAGGCATAGGGATAGTTCAGGAATCCAGATTAAGGGAAATGTCCACCGTTGGCATCCATTACTAGACAACAAATGGTGAAGAGACAGCAAACTGAGAGAGTGTGCTGTAGTCAATTGTATACTGTGCAAATGAGTGACAACGCTATAGTTATATGTAGTTACGATCTGTAAGAGTTAAATAAATCGGGTCACCAATCCAAACCCTGTCTATAGTCACTCATACATGTGACAATGACGATGACAACAACAACAACAACAACAACAAGCACGCACACACAAATATGGAATGGTGTGGACCCTCATAATTAATTTCAGAAATAACAAAGCCTAATATCTTCAGAGATGTACATCCTCATATAAATTTTAAAACAGGAGATAATAGTTCTGTTGGTAATGCACAGTATAAATAAAGATTAACTGTTTCTTTGACTTTTTTCCTCTCTTCCCCACTTTGGAGCATAGGGCCGATTTCTCAGTTTCATTAATCATTTTTTACAGACGGTAGGACTCCTTGGACCGGTTATCAGCTCATCGCTCGGCTACCATGACCGGCTGTTTCTTTGACTACTCTTGAGATATATTGTGCTGACATATCTTGTGGAAAAATATTATACCAGAAGAATTCAGGCAGATTTTTTTCCCCAATCTGTAACCACTGAAACAAAATAATCTGACCCATGATTATACTTGGAATATCACCAGCCTAACGGATGTCAGTATATGACAGACTGCTGTGGTTTTGTAAACCGAGTATCTTTCACATGCTAGATGACATGTCAGTATGCCATGATTTATGCTTTTACAACACTTGCAGCTGAATTTGTGTGCTATAAATATACAACATAGTTTATATTATTACACTTTATTCCCAACAGTGGAAAGTGACAATGATTTTAAGAGCTGTGGAAATTAAGTGGAAAACTTTGATATTCTAGTGTCTGGCAGTGATATGTGTACATACACATGTCAGATTATGAGAGTTGCAGCTCAGCTTCAGAAAGTTACTGGATACTTTGCAGGCCTGAAAATGGATTCAAATGAACATGCCTCAAGCTCCTCCATCCCCTTCATGCTCACAGAAAAATCATCTGCTGCAGTTTTTCAACCAATTCTACATGATTCATTAGATTGTATCACAGTGCATGAGAGTCTCAAAGAAAATGAGCAGGTCCTGCTATAAAATGGCATCCAATGGAGGGCATGTTATTTTAGCACCTATAATTTAACTACTATGGAACTATACATCTGTCTTCATGGCATGGTGCTTAATTAATGAAGTCAGGAATAACTTTGCTTCTACTGTAATGCTGTCAGATCAGCAACTGAACTGGTCACAAACCCCAGTTATGTTTATTCGTTCCTCTGATAATGAATGCTTTACCATACGTTAGTCAAATTAAAACAAGACTTATATTTTTCCAACTCATAATCCAGAAAATAATTCTGCTGCTAATTTTCAAGAACTCTGAGGAGAAATTTATGGCACCATATACTTCAGACAGATGCCACTATAAACAAAAGACTACTTCCCTACAAGGGATGGCCTGATTGGGAGTAGTAAGCCCCACTGAAGACAACCGGATCCGAAACAAAGACACACATCTTACGTAAGTGTTAAACTGTTTAAGTTATGAGTTGTCTACCATATCACACACTGAGAAGGGCATCAAACTTGATGAGTAACATAAAAAGATCTTCTGCTGTCCTTGCAAGTTGTGGCAATGCTTCTGCAGCCTTTCCTGGATATGGGATATTATCTAACTGCTTCCAATGTTTATATATCCCAGTCAGTAGATGCTGATTTCCTGCACTACAAATATGCATGACATAGTCAAGATAACTGGTAAAAACATGTCTTTGATACAACGGAACATATATAGCTTGGGTAAAAAGCAGTGGCAACGCCTCTATAGTTCTGTAATGACTCTATTACCTGAGGTAAACACACTTACATTCCTTTAATATAATCACCCCCCCATGTGTACCGCCTTCTGCCAAATTTGTGGAAGGCGTCATACACCATCAGTACACCACTTCTGTTGATGTGCAGCAGTGACCACCCTACAGCATGAATAATCTCTTCTCTTGTGTTGTAACGTAACCCTCACAGTGGTTCTTTCATTTTGGCAAAGAGATCATAATCGCACGGACTCATATCGGGTGAGTATGGCAGATGTTGCAGTATCTCCCATCGCTAGCAGCGAAGGAGATCCTTGACAGCGTCAGCAGCATGAGCCCTTGCATTGTCATGAAGGATGATGGGGTTTGTTGCCAACACGTGTCGTCGCTTTCTCCTGAGTGCTGGACGAAGATGATTACGCAGGAAATTGCAGTAGTAGGCAACGTTTACTGTCTGTCGTTGAGGTACAGTGTGGTGCAGTATCACTCCATCAATGTCATATGCCACAATGAACATTGCCTTCACATTACTCTGTGTAGGGCGCACTTTCTTTGGACGAGGAGAGCCAGAATGCTTCCATTCATTTGATTGTCGCTTCAAGTGCGGTTTGTATGAGTGAGCCCAAGTTTTGCCCAGAGTGATGATCCTTCCAAGGAAGTAGTCACCTTCCCTCTGGTACCGGTCCAACAAGTCCTGTGTAATTGCATAATGTTGCCATTGTTGCACCTTGGACATTGTATAGGGTACCCAAAGTGCTGCAATTTTGCGGTATCCAAGAATATCGTGCAGAATGTGCAGCACGGTTTTGTGAGATACGCCTACCTCAGCAGCTAACTCCCGTGCAGCCCATCGATGATTGACATCCAGCAAAGAAGCAAGAAGCTGAATTGTGGAATTGTCAACATGGGGTCATCCTTGAGGATGGCTGTTCTGTATGGCATCCCTCCCTTCACAGAACAATTTCACCCATTGTGCCATTGTACAATATGGCAAAGCAGCAACACCAGATGCTTCTCGTAGTCCCTGATGACAGTTTTGTGCACTACAACCTCATGCAACTTCAATTTTTATCCAGGAGCGTTGTTCTTGTTTCATAAACATGTTCTTAAGGCGCTTGAACTGGGCTCCTGCACTTCAAGATGATGCACAATCCAACTCAATGAAACACAACCAGAGCCACTTACTGCGCTACTTCAACTGAACTTCTGCTATCAGCCACAGACAGCGCTAGTGCCACCTGACGCACATCTTTCATGTTACAGCAGTGTTGCCACTACTTTTTATCCAACCCTTGTAAATTGTAAAACACTGGTTTTCTAATAGGGAAAACAATGACCTTGTCCTTGAAAGGCAGGAAAAATGATGTACGACTGAGCATAGTACAGTGATGACACTGTACAATTTACTGCATATAAAAATTATTTCACTGTCATCACAATGCCTGAATTTTTCCTCAGATTCAATATGGCAGTTGTGTTTGTAAGTTTACCAACTTTGTATAAGTACAGTTTTTGTTTGTTCACCATTACCTTCTAACATAATTTTACATTACATAATGTGACATCTTACTACTGTTACTAATTGAAAAAATAAACCTACTATATTTCGGGTCAATAGTCAATATAATCATACAGACTGACATTTGAGGGGAATGGGATTAAAATTTTTGTCTGAAATTTGGCTATCAATATACTTGTATTTCTTTATGCATACTAAAAAACAAAAATAAAACTCTCAATATTTTGGTGCCCTTTCCACTAAAATATCACCAGTAGTATGCCTACTCTCTAGGATTCCGTGCCCTCACCTTGACTTCTACTTTCACAGCAGCAAACGCGAATGGTTCAGTTGCCTCATTTACTTGACATTCGTCTGTCTCGCTTTTTGAATCAGGTTCCTCCTTTATTGCATCCATGCTGGTTGTACTTCACGTATAGCTTACGAAACTGTAAAAGTACAAGGTCATATTAATTACTAAAATCGAAAGTGCCTACATTTGAAAGCTGTATTCGAAGTTTTAAAGACTGTTACCAGCATTAGCAACAACAGAATATTACTCACGCTTGTTCATCGTCATACAACACGCGGAAATCAACAGCCCGACAACCTAGGACATCTAGGACGATCTAGGAAGCCAAGGAATAACCTAGGACCCGTAAGACCTGCGTAAGACATTGGTCATTTACAGACTACACAAGCTGTTTAGATTAGATATAGAAAAATAGGTGTGCTGCGACTATTATCATTATTATTATTATTATTATTATTGTTGTTGGATGGATCAATTCTTTCTGCTGACTTGCAGTTACAAATTCCATGTTCAGCAGCGCACAATGTACAATTCAAAAGGCTCCGCCTAAGAGCGTACAGGATTCAAACAATTAATGCAATAAAACCGACTGACCAAGTAGCACGTACAAACGTCACTTTGGATATACTAGAAGGAATTTACACGTGACCCGATTTCTTCTGCCAAGTGTGCTTTTCGGACTGCAGGAAGCAGGTTGGCCTTTGCAGTTTGCTAAGTTGTGCCTGACTTGTTTTAAGTTTGACTCTGGGCCACCATATAGTGGCGGCATAGGTGATTGTGGATCATACCACTCTTGGTGTCAGTCCCCAAGCCTCCCTAAACATGCCTTTGCGTGTCCAGAAGGCCTTATAGTCCTTATTAATAGCCTTATCCAGCTGTTTTTTTTTCCATGTCAGTTCCTTGTCTAAAGTTAATCCAAGGTACATGACTTCACTGTTTAACTGGATCGCTTTACTGAAGAGAATTGGTTCTTTGAGTCGTTTTATATCCCTTTTCCTAGTAAAGGGTATAATCATCGTCTTGTTTGGATTGAGTGACAAGGTTGTTCTTTCACACCACTGTTGAAATGTATACAGGGCTGTTTGTAAGTTGCCAAAAAAGCGATCAGGGACCGGACTGATAGAAATCATAAAAAATACTGGGAATCCATAATTGGACTCAAACAGGCAAAGGGTTTTATATCAGAACCCTCGGCCAGAAGAACGAAGGATCTGTTGAAATTAAACAGAGATCAACTAAGATGGGTGGTAGGATTATTTACCGGACACTGCCACCTAAAAGGACACCTTTTCAAGTTGGGACTGACAGATAACCCGACTTGTGAAAGGTGCATGCAAGAAAACGAATCAACCACACACATCCTATGTGATCATGAGGCCATAGCTTATTTAAGATTTTGTCACTTGGGTCAGTTTTTTGTGGAACCAAGTGACTTTTATGATGCCCCCATAAGCAGGGTCCTACACTTGATTAAGAGTGTAGGATTAATGAAGTGCTAATCCAAGGAGAAGCACAATAAATCATTGAAGGTCGCAGTGTGGGGGACGGTTTTTATGGCCCACCCCTTACATACATTACATTACAAGACCTCTGACACAGTGTGCGGGAATTTCCCATTAATTAGGATTGCTATCACATCACCATATCCTACTGTGAAATGGCCTATATTGTTGAGCTCCCAAAGAAGATCATCCACGACCAGGCACCACAGGAGAGGGGAAAGAACACCTCCGTGCGGACACCCTCAAGCCGCATATGCTCCCAGGGTCCCTCCAGACAATGTAGCACTTATATTCCTGCTTTCCAGAATAGCACAGATCCATCTGCATGTTGTGGGCTGAATGCGATGCCTTTCAGCAGCCTGTTTTATTGTGTCAAAGGTTCCCTCTACGTCAAGGAATGCTCCAAGGGCAATTTCCTTGTGTTCAGTAGCATTTTCTATGCATGTTGCTACATTATTCAATGCAATTTCAGTAGATTTACCAATTTGGTAAGGATGGTAGTTTTGGTGCAGAGGATGAATTTTCAGTGCACCGTCCCTAATACTGCAGGCACTGCCTGGTACATTATTAATCTCCTGGCAGTACCACCTCCATGAGGATCGTTTGGCTTTCCTTATCTCTTTATTGTAACAGGTGAGGGTTTCCTTGTAGGTGTTCCACTGCCCTGTCTTTTTCGCTATATTAAATAGCTTTCTTTTTTTAACTCTTTAACATATTCAGCGATTTATTCCACCAAGGTGCATTTCTTGGTAAGCGAGTGGTCTTGGCTGGACAATTATGATAACAGGACAAGATGATGGCCTGTTGCAACTGGTCAACAGATCGATCTATGTCCCTTATCGTGCGTATATTTTGCGAAATAATCTCCAGATTCACCTTTAGGTTGACCTTGTATGACTCCCAGTTGGTTCTCCTGGGATTCCTGAAGGTAACTTGTGTTGTTATGTTACCTATTTGAAAGCATATGTATCTGTGGTCTGATAAAGATGGGTCATCAGATACATGCCAGTTACTTACCAGGTTTTCTATTTCATCTGTCCCTAGTGTCAAGTCAATAACCTTCTTCCCATTTTGGACCACAAAGTAGGTTCACTACCATGATGTAGAATACTCAGGTTCGAACTCGCCAGAAATTCCATAAGGCTTTCTCCCCTTGGACTGGTGCCAGTGCTTCCCCACAAGATGTGGTGTGCATTGGCATCACACCCAATGATGAGTTGCTTTTTCCTGCTATAGCAATAGTTTATGATGTGCGTCATTTCCTTAGTCGGTGGTGGTTCATCTGAGTCGTATGGAAGGTAACCTGAAGCAACAATCAGCTCCCTGCTGCCCCCTAGATATGTATACGTTATCCTCACTGCTGTTGCGTCTCTAGATCAGAGCTCCAGCAAAGTTAAGGCATTAATATGATTCCTGATATATCCACAGAATCTCACACTGTTACCAGGTACAGCAGAGTAAACTGTTCCCCCTGTGTTAGTTAAGCCCCTTATTTGACCCTTGTATAACCAAGATTCCTGAATAAGTGCTATATCTGCCTTTCCCTCAGCTAGTTGCTGGCATAGAGTTGCTGTGGTGTAGGTTAATTTGAAGGAATTTCATAGTGTGTGTATATGTGCTGTGTGTGTGTGTATGGATGTGTTAGATGTATGTATAATCTGGTTTAGTTCTCTCTTCCATTTCGGGAGGTCAGTTTCCATCTTATTTCCCTCCCTATCCTCTGACTGTGTTCCGTGTGAAGGGGTCCCCTGACCTGTTTTTCTTCGGTCATCCGAGGAAGTGGGTATCTCATCCCCCTTCCCACTCAGAGACCGAATTTGATGATGCTGTGTCTGGCACAGGTTCTGTCTGTGCTGAATTTCAGGATCTTTCAGCACCTTAACAGTCCCCTGTGAGAGCCATGTAAATATCTTGTAACCAGTCCTCTGTATAGTAATACAAGATTCCCAGTCTATGAGTAAGATAAGCCTCTGGCCTTTCGGCTCAGATTGCTTATCGAGTACCCTCCAGTGTTCAGTATGAAGTCCTGGATTGAGGTCTGCAATCCATTTCAGCAGCTCTTCCTGATTCTGGGCAACTTTGTCCCTAATCCGGAGAACCACTTTAACAGGCTTGGGCAGGTTCCTGGCATCAGTAGCCTTCAGCCTGTAGCTGTCAATGGCTTTGATGAGCCATTGACCAGACTGTTGGTCGGTGCATATGTAAATAAGTGCACCTCTCTCCAGTCTGTAGGACTTCAAGTGTGGTAGTTCTCCCTTTGGAGTCCCATGTAACACCTTCTTCGGTAAGCTTGTCCTCAGGACGTTTCCTTGAAGATAGCTACCTTTATATTGGCCAGAGCTTCCTTGTAAGTCCCTGAGCCTTTTTGGAGCTCTGGACGTTTCCTTAGGGGTACTGTCCTCCCGCATTGGTCTTTTAAGGGTTTCAGTGGGGGGATTCTCCTTGCTTTGGCAAACCTGAATTTCCTGGTTTCTGACTGCCCCAAGTTCTTGTTTTGCCTGCCCAGCTCTTGCCTTTTTAATTTCTGTCTAGCGCATCCAGACAATGCCTTCTTCGCTAGACGGAGTCCACCTACTCCAGAGACTATGTGTCCGAGTCCTTCTCCTACTGCAGGTGTGCTAGAAGTACTAGCCCCCTGCAGTGGTAGGTCAGTACTACTGATTCCCAAGAGAGTAGTTTTTGGTTTTACCTCAGGCAGGTTTTGAACCACTGGTTCGTCTCTGCCTTTGGCTGAAATTTCAACAGCAGGTTCATTGTTTGCAACTGGGCTTGTAATGGTTCACCAGAGTTTCCAGTCCCCTGCTGAAGTATTTCTTGTAGGGATCCCCTTGGAGGGGCTCCCTCTTCTGTTTAAGGTCCTTACGACCGGTTTTAAATTTGGTTCCTTTATTCATTTCAGTCCCACGAGTCATGGGGATTTATAAGGTCACCACCTGAAGCGCCCCATATAGGTGGAAGGTATAAATACAACGGGGTGCTGCCTGGTGACCCGAGGAGATCATTCACGACACTGACTAATTACCACCCCAGTGCCACGCAGCCCTCAGCATGATGCCTCACACCTTGGCTTAGGTGGTTTGGTCCTGTTATGAATAAGACCCTCGCAAGCATCCAGGACTTAAAGTGCCTGTTTGGGGGGAGAGGGGTATCCCAGATGATCAATGGGAGTGCGATACCAGCTAGTCATGAGGTTTCGACCAGGAAAACCTGCTGCTGGAGGTGGCCTTGCATTGCACCTACCTGAAGTGATTGACGATACCGGTACGAACAGGCAAAAGCTTCAGTGATGTAGTAATCAGTGTTGGTGAAATGGATCTATTCCTGGGCATGTTACAAAGGCACAAGTGGGTCCTAGTGACAGAGGAAGTGGCACCGCCACACCATACCAGCATTTACAAGGTAACATATACAGCAGCAGTCCCTCTAACTGGAGTTATTTTAGTTGCTCTGTGCATTTTGATTTAATTTCCACCTATTAAATTTTGGAATTTAAGGAATATATCATGGTTATGCAAACAGTTTCTTACTTCAAGTGACACAGGCCTGACTGCCTGCTTGTCTACCTGCCTCTGTCAACCATCCAGCCACATAGTTCTTACCTAATATGCATGGGGCTTCCATTGGCATAAGTACAAAACGCACACTGTTCATTTAATGTGAAATTTATCATTTAATGATGCAACATATAAGAAAAAGTGATCAAGCTGTCTCAATTTATAATGTTTATCATCCAGGAAATACCCAGTTTGACTCCCAGCCAGGCCACCAACTGTCCCAAGAGAAGTTTGTATGTTTTTCCTCAATCCCTCCATTGAAAGCCACGTTGGTATGTTGAAAGAAGCCACAGCTGCTTCCTTCCCAGCAAATGGTTTCTTGTTTGAAGTGACACTGGCCTGTCTCCCTAACCCTGTCTGCATGCCTATTCTTCTGCCTGCTTCATCTTGCCTCTGGCTGCCGCTTCCTGCCTGCCTGTCTATCCGAACTATCCAGTAAGAATGCTTCTTACCTAGTATGCATGGGGCCTCCATTGGAATAAGGAAGTTCAATATGCTCACTATTGTCTTAACATGAAATTTTTCACTTAATGATGTAACATATATAAAAAAGTGATCAAGTTGACTGAATTTGTAATCAAACTTCGATGACTGTTAAAATGGATTTCACATTCATATTTGACTGGAACTGTTCTCTCTTATAATTAGGATAATTAAGTATTTGTGACTGTGTTGTTTTTGTTGAACTTCATCATATATTTCTAGGAAGTAAGACTATTTCTGTCCTTCAGGCCACATTTTCGAGACTATGAAACTGGGGAAGTTGCTGCTTGTGGTGGCTCTGCATCACCATTATGTGAAGTGAGTGGCTAAGGGTGTTCTGACTGTATGACCAGACAAAAGCCTCAGTGATGTAGTGATGACTGCTGGTGAAAGTTGGTCTACTCCTGGGCATGTTACAGAGGCACAAGTGGGTCCTAGTGGCAGTGGAAATAGCATGTAACATGTACAGCTGCATTCCAACTTAGGAGTTACATTAGTTGTCCTGTGCAATCAGACTTAATTTCCAACTATTAAATTTTGGCTTTTAAAGTTAAGGAAACGGTTTCTTCCCTCAAGTGACACTGGCCTGACTGCTTGCCTAGAACTAGATGTTTTCATTCAAAATTTAATTTTAATTAAAACTCTCATTCCTCCACTTTATGTCTTATTTACACAACACGTTTCGACATACACGGCCATCATCAGGTGCACTAAAATCGTTCTGGTGAAACTGCTGAACTTCATGCACCATCACATTTTTTATGATTCAATTCTGAATTATATTTTTTTTGTGTGTGTGCAGTGTGTGGTGACTGGTGTTTTTTGTGCAGTGTGTATTTCATTCTGTTGTCTTGTGTAGTTATGGTTCATATTGTACTTCAGAATTCAAAACCAAATCACAAAAAATGTTATGATGGTGCATAAAGTGCAGCACTTTCAACAGAACAATTTTAGCTCACCTGATGGCCATGTAGGCTGAAACATGTTGTGTAAATTGAAGGAATGAGAGTTTTAAGTAGAAACTGAATGTGTGTAGATTGTAATATAATTATCTGTTTGGTGAGGAGTTGTTATCCCCACGCCCAACCCCCAAGCGGGAGGACCACCCCTTGTCAGCTGTCTGTGACTGCTTATTCAATATATTTGCAGCTTCCCTCCAAAACTGGAGGTCGTCTCCTCCATCTGCAACCTGACCTGTAAATCTCCATATAGGTAAACGTTTGTCTGATAAATTTCCTATCCAGAATGGTCTAAAATAAGGAGATGTTTTATTGCCACTCCTTTTCAATTTTGCATTAGAATATGCCATTAGGAAGGTCCAGGGAAACCAGGTGGGACTGAAATTAAACGGGACACATCAGCTGTTGGCCTATGCCGATGATGTGAATCTACTGGGTGATAATGTAGATACCATAAAGAAAAACACACAAACTTTAATTGACACAAGTAAAGAGGTTGGTCTAGAAGTAAAACAGAGAAAACTAAGTATATGTTGCTGTCTCTTCACCAGAATGTAAGGCAAAACCATGACATAAAGATAGGAAACAAATGTTTTGAAAATGTGGCACAGTTCAGATATTTGGGAACGATAACAAATCAAAACCTGATTCAGGTGGAAATTAACAGGAGTTTGAACTCGGGTAATGCATGCTACCAATCAGTCCAGAACCGTTTGTCTTCTCATCTGCTGTCCAGAAACATAAAAATTAGAATGTACAAAACTATAATTTTGCCTGTGGATCTGTATGGGTGTGAAACTTGGTCTTTGACATTAAGGGAGAAACAAAGACTGAGGGTGTTTGAGAACAGGGTGTTGAGGAGAATATTCTCCTCAACACCCTGTTCTCAAAGAATGGAGAAAAATGCACAATGAGGAGCTTCATAACTTGTACCCTTCTCCCAGTATAATTAGAATGATGAAGTAAAGTCAAGGAGGATAACGTGGGCAGGGCATGTAGCACGAATTGAGACAAGGAATGCGTATAGGATATTGGTGGGTAAGCAGAAGGAAAGAGACCACAGGGAAGACCAAGGCATAGGTGGGTGGACAATATTAAAATGGATCTTAGAGAGATAGGATGGTATGGTATGGACTGGACTGATCTGGCTCAGAACAGGGACCAGTGGTGGGCTCTTGTGAACACGGTAATGAACCTTCGGGTTCCATAAAATGCTGGGAAATTCTTGAGTAGCTGCAGAATTGGCAGCTCCTCCAGAAGGGCTCAGCTCCATGAGTAAGTAAGTAAGTATGTGTGTATATGTACGTTTTCTTGACTTCAGCACCACTTGGAGATGAGTGGTCAGAACCAGGCCTGTTGACATGGAGAAGAAAAAATTCTTGACCCTGTTGGGGCTTGAACTTTGACCCCTTTGTTGTCCAGCTCATAGCCAGAGAGCACATACAGTAATACCTGTAAATATTACATTGAGTGACTGTACCTATTAACCCTTTTGCGCGGTCATTTAAATTCCGCTGCCGTCTCTCCGGCAGTAATATATTCAGCCGGCCATTTAAATTTTGCTCGAAAATGATTTATTCATCATTGTTCTTAAATTATATGAGATAGGAACATGAAACTTTCACTAAAATGATCTTAAAAGGTGGTTTTATAACCTTACCTTATAATGTGAGCGCCCGGTATCTCGGCAATGGAAGCAGTTGGTTTAGAATTTGAGCAGTGTATCGTACGCATTGAAGCATGAAACTTTCACTAAAATGATCTTAAAAGATGGTTTTATAACCTTGCCTTATAATATGAGCACCCGGTATCTCGGCAATGGAAGCAGGTGCATAGAATTTGAGCAGAGAATGGTATGCATTGAAGCATTCTTCTATACACAACGCTCTCACATTCACCACACCAATACCGCGTATCTCTCATTTGGCTTTTTTTCCGTAAACCAAACATCTTCTGTGAGGCTTTGCCTTCTTCCCCATGGGGGGAATACAAGAGGAAATGTCTCTCCGTGAGTCGTATAGCTTGCCAGATTAGCTGCAGTAAATTCAACCTTTATGTTATCATAACAAGGGGTTGGTGCTTCTGCGTTTCAGATTCCAACCATTTTGGCTGCCCCAGATGTCGTAGGGGTGACCACAGAATTCATGAAGTTATTCTAAGAACTGGCTGGTATGTAGTGAACGAAAGCAGAGCTTAGCTGGCTCAAAAAAATATTTATGGTCATCCCTCGAAACGACCACCAAGGTCAGTACGATAAAATGGAGTCAACTGGAGCGATAATACATGAAGGAATGAGTTCTTTTCCCTCCCCCACACACATCCGTATCGTCTCAGGGGGTGACCACAGTGTTCTGCCTTAATTTGTGGCGTTTTTCTAAGAACTGGCTGCTATGTACTGTGCAAAATCAATCGATCTTGCAAGAATAAAATTTGGACATCCCTCTTCTAAGAATTCCAATTGAGTGTGTTAGTGTGGCCAGCTCAGGGCAATATGATATTATAAACACAGCACATATCACATCTCTGCTGTTTATAACTTCATAGGAAAGAAAACACGCCATCCATAACAGTTTGAATGAGGAAACCTCTTCCAAGAGCAACACGATTTTGCTGCAAGACAGGCATATGTAACGATGACTTAATGCAGCGAAACTCGTGTCCCATTATATATAGAACTTCTGACAACAGGCCAGTGAAAAATCTAACAATCTACAGCAAAACCATCAATTATTATGGGCGTTATAACATAGGTGTGCAGCTGGACGAAACATAGATGTTGAACCCCCGCAGACGATTTAAATACCTGACAAAACATACACGTCAAACCACGCTGAACGGCTAATAAGGATTTGATTTTTTAACCACACACAGGAGCTCACTCCTAACTAAACACCTAACATGAAAGGCTATAATTAAATTCAGGGTCAATCAAAAGTGTGCAACAATCTAAGTGGGCTACTCATGTACAAACTAGTTTCTATAGGTGTCTAAAGGCTTCACGGGAACACTGAATTCCACTTTATATAATATATTAAGTATTAAAAGGATGCATATACTCTGTGTAACATAAAAGCGTTTGTCTTTTTAAAGTCTTCTGGAGAGGATAAAAAAGTTTTATTTTCATACTAACTTCCTCAGTTTTATTTCATACTCATTTCCTGTAGTATTATTACTCGTCACAAATTTCATTTAACACAAAAGGTCAATCGTTTATACCAGCACATTCTACTGGAATGAAATATTAAGTCTAAATTTTTAGTCATTCCACACAATTCTCTAAACAGTTCACTGAGGAAAAAACCACAAGATTTGCTTGACAGATAACATGAAGTACCAATATGAACTTCATAATTACTTAAAAGCCTACAACGATCTCTCCCTTGTGGTCATCAGAATGCTCTTCCAGTGCCTCTAGACTTGGAAATTGCTCATCACACTCACTACATTTATACTTCTTATCTACGTGAGAAGCAACATGTTCTTTCAAAGACTGTGTGTCAGAGTATCTTTTTGAGCAAAAAGTGCAATTGTAAGGTTTCTCACTCATATGCATAACAATGTGCTTCTGAAGATTACCGCGTAATGCAAATCTTTTTCGACATATGTCGCACTCATATGGCTTGTCTCCTGTGTGAAGTTTTTGATGATTAATAAGTGCCTGACGATGTCTGAACTGCTTACTGCACACATCACACTTGTACGGCTTCTCTCCAGTATGGAGAGTCTGATGACTGCTTAATGCATGACGCAAGGCAAAACCCTTACCACAAACGGAACACTCAAATGGTTTTTCCCTTGTATGCACCAACATGTGGGTTTTCAGATTACCAGCTTGAGTAAATCTCCTATTACAAATTTCACACACATGAGGTCTGACACCACTGTGAATCATATAATGAGTTTTCAGTGTATCTGCATGGAAGAACCTCTTTTTACACATTTTACACTCATGACTCTTTTCCCCTTTGTGCTTTACAGAATGTAACCTTAAATTAGAGGCCTGCAAGAAGCTTTTGCCACATACTTCACATAAATAAGGCTTTCCATCGGTGTGTACCAGCCTGTGTGTCTTCAGTAAGTTGGGATGATAGAAGCTCTGGCCACAAACATCGCATGAAAATGACTTTGGTTTATGCTTGTATGAATGTTTCTGCACACCAGCAAATGTTGGGAAAGATTTTCCACATTCTGAACATTTGTGGGGCCACTCACTTGGACAGTTCCCAACACTGGCTGCAGCATACTGACTTCTCAAGTCCTGTGAACTGTAGGAAATGTATGAATATTCAATCATATTCCATGGGATAGACATGCAGCTGGGTTTGAGGAAATACACAGCGCATAAACAAACTTAGTGGGGAACTGATCTCAGAACCTTTTCGAAGAACTGGGACAAATTTTAATTTCAATGTATGACATTCATTGCTGGCATGCAGGAAAACTGTCCTGTATGATAGTTATTAAAGATTAAAATGATTCTAAGAAGGAAAGGTTGTGAGGAGACAAACTGAATTGAAATGGACTGGAATTTTGTTCAATGGTAGGCTTTGGTATTCACCTTGTTAAACCTATGAGTTCTGTTACCAGACAGTTAATTACACAAAAACACAGAATGCATTTTCTTGAGGTACTTAAATAATGAAGGATAAAATATAACATACTACCATTATGTGAAATGGAAATCAGAAGCACTACTTGAACAAATGAGGTTCCTGCTTGGGGATTTGGCACTGGCTTAACAACTTCCCACTCTGTGGAACTAGTGTGCTAATTTTAAGGATCAACTAAAAATCGAATTATGGGATGAGGTCTATCTTCAATCTGATGTAAATAGTGCCTATTGCACCTTCCTAAGTAAGTTTCGTAAGTTTTTTTGCACTTCTTCCCCTTAAAAAGAGTTTTTAACAAGAAAGGGAAAAAATCAAGTTGGATCACACAAGGGATAAAGGTGTCTAGACAGAGGCTGCAACTTTTACGTTTGTTAAAAAGAAAGATGTCCCTGTCAGTTCACACTTTGAAGTATATAAAAAAATATCAGAGAATTTATAAGAAAGTAATTTCTGTTGCCTGTCAAAGAGAATATGTCCAAATTATTAAAACGTCAGTCAAAAATTAAAAACCTCTATGGCAAATAATAAAAAAAGCAGTCAGGAAATAATTTTACAGAAATAGGCTCTAAGTTAGTTACAAACCCACGGGATGTATCCCAAAAATGTAATGAATTTTTTTTTGTAAATAGCATAGACAAGCTGATACATTTAAATAAAAATTGTAAAATTGATGATACCACTACAAATGATGCAATACAGAATCCCAATGTATTATTTCTTGCCCCTATTACTGAAGAATAGGTTCTTCAGGTTAGTAGTAAATTAAAAACGAAAATTTCAGCAGGTTATGATGAAATTCCGGATATGATAGTTAAACAATGTATCCAAACCATAAAAAAGCCTTTGACTTTTATATTTAATCTGTCACTAAGTTCTGGCATTTTTCCAAATCAAATGAAGATTGCAAAAGTTTGACCTATTTTTAAGAAAGGTCAGAAACAAAATATTTCAAATTACAGACCAATTTCAATTTTGTCTGTTTTTTTTTTCAAAAATTCTTGAAACACTGATGTACAATAGGGTTGTAAATTTCTCAAAGAGATTCAATCTGATATCAAATGCTCAAAATGGTTTTAAAAAAAATAAATCCACGTTTACGGCAATTCAAACTTTTATTGGAGAAATTCAGAAAACACTACATAATAAACAACTGGCCTTTGGTATATTTCTGGATCTATCAAAGGCTTTTGATGTTATTAATCATAACTTGCTGCTTCCAAAGTTGGAACCGTATGGACTGAGAGGAATATCTCATGCATGGATGAGATCGTATCTTACAGATAGATCACAGTTTGTTGAAATTCACTATATGGATCAAAAGACTTAAAAAATGAAGACAGTTACCTCATCCCTTAAAGCAATTAAATATGTTGTACCTCAAGGTTCTCTTTTGGGACCTTTCATTCCTGTTATTTATAAATGATCTGCCCCAAGTTATACATAATGCAGAGGTAGTACTATTTGCTGATAATACAAATACAGGGCTACTATAAGTGATTCATTCGTTTTTAAAACGCTATATTTTCCAAAGCATTATACGTACAGACATGATTAATATATATAAGAAGAACCGTAAACTCACCAAGTTTTCTTCACACTCTACAAATATTCTGTGTGTGTCCCTTGGGTCACATGACACACGTCCAGGCTGTAGTCAAGCTCGTTCCACACATTTTGTAACATCATCCTGTCAATGATCATCACTGCAGTATCGATGCGTTCCCTCAGCTCTACTAGTGTTCTTGGCAGTGGGGGTATGTAAACACAATCCTTAATGTACCCCCAAAGGAAGAAATCACAAGGCGTTAGATCAGGTGATCTGGGGGGCCAAGTGAACAGAGCTACGTCATCCTCACCAACACGCCCAATCCAGCGATGCTGAAGTTCATTGTTTAGGTAGCGACGAATACTGCCGATACCACCGCAAAATGCTTTGTTTACATGGCGGTTCTTTTCCGTACTCTCTTTTGAATGTGCGTTGCACTGCCATAAGAGACGAACATCTCGCATATTCCAACAAACAAAATCTCTATTCTTGCTTTGTCGCCATTTTGTAAAGGCACTGAACTTGGTCTGCTAATTGATGCATATAATACAAACGTGGTGAGTTTACGGTTCTTTTTATGTATCAATCATAATTGTATGTATAATACTTTGGAAAATATAGCGTTTTAAAAACGAATGAATCATTTATAGTAGCCCTGTACAGTAATTAGATAAAAAGACATCAAGTATAAAGATGTAAAAGTAAGTAAGTAGGTAAAGCTATCCCTGTACCAGGCCATGAAGGCCCATAGGATTGTGAGACGTTGAGGGTCCCACATCATCTAGACAATCGGCTCAAAGATGGCAGTAAGGATGTCAGCGTTACGCGCCGCCTGCTCTTTACTTCCCAGGAAAATTATTTAATTAATTCCTGGTACTCATTTCTGCTAGAGGCTGAGTGAACCCCAGGGTCATAGTGCGGCTGTAAGGATTAAGTCAATTGAAAAAATCCAATAACCTCATCGGGACTTGAACCTGCAACCTTCCGGCTTGTAGCACAGCCCCTCAACCAACTATGCTACCGCATGCCCCAGTATAAGGATGTAAAGAAATAACATATTGTGTACCTCAGGGTTCTATTTTGGGACCTCTTCTGTTCATCTTGTTAATAAATGATTTGCCCCAAGCTGTGCAAGAAGCCAAGGTGGTGTTTTCACAGATCACATAAATATATTACTCGTTGAAATAACTTTCACATCTTTGAAAGGGAAAATGGTAAAAGTTACGAAACAATTAGAAAATAGTTTTTTGACAAATAATCTTACAGTAAATATGGAAAGACCACAGCAATACTATTTCAGGGAAGAGGACATAGTTTAACTCACAGACCTGTTCTATATTCAAATAAAAAAGAAATAACTTATATATCAAATTTAAAACTTTTAGGTATTTACATTACAGAAAGCTGGGCCACTCATATACAATACCATTGTCTAAGAAATTAAACAAAGCTCTTTAATTGACTGAATCCTTAGGTGACTCAATAAGTATACCTGTATTAAGAAATGTTTATTTTACAAAATTATAATCTATTATATTTTGGGGGGGAGTAATGACAGTAATGCAGTATTTAAAATATAGAAAAAAAAGTCTAAGCCTTATTAAAGGAGTTAAAAACAAGGTGTCTTGTAGAAATCTGTCTGGCAATTTTAAGATTTTTGATGTTAACTATATTATATGTATATTGTAAAAAACACCTATCAATGTTTCTCCTAAAAGATTCCGAGTGAATTCACATCCTGAAGAGGGCCAAAAAGACAATTCTCAAATCTTACCAAATCAACCACAAGTGGGATCACTTGGAAAACTGTGTTTCAAAATACCAACCATAATCAATGGATCAATAATAATGGATGCAAGTGACATGCTTCAACAGAACCATGAAAGGAGCACCATCATAAAGAATTCTAAAAGTACAGAAAGCACCAAGCCTACACGCATAGTGCAGCATAAAGTGTTCATGCTGGGAGACAGTCATCTCAAGGGAAGTGTTGTTAAACTTAGAAGTGAATTAAGTCCACAATTTAAAGTTTTTGGTGTGATTAGACCGGGAGCTGGTGCTGAACAGATTGTGAACTCTTCTGCTGAGGATCTACAGAATTTACATTCACATGATATTGTTGTTCTTAATGCTGGTGCCAATGATGTATATAAGAATAATAAGGGAGTAGCTCTAACCCAGATCACTAAGTTTATACAAAGGAACTATGGTACTAATATTATAATTTTAGATATCCCTCAGAGATATGATCTTTCATCCTCTTCATGTGTGAATTCTGAAATTGAAGAATTTAATAGACAATTGAAGAAAATTGCTACTTTATACAATCATGTCTCACTCTTAGAAACAAATCTCAAAGAGAGAATGTTTCACAAAGCATGGTGTTCATTGGAACTCTCTAGGAAAGACTCTGGTAGTGAAATTCATATCCATGCAAATTAATAAATTACTGAGAAAAGAATTACTAACTCCAGTGAATCTTACTTGGATGGATAATGCCTTGTTGAGTAATGTAGATAGCTGTAGTGAAGTGATGATACCTTTATCTGATAATGTAAATGTAAGTATGGATAGTGAGAACACAGTGAGTTGTAATGAAGAGATGATAACTTTATTTGATAATGTAAATATAAGTATGGATAGTGAGAACATAAGAAATAGTCTGACCCAATTGAAAAAGTCTGACCCAATCATAATGAAAGGGAAGGATGAACAAGAGTTGGAGGAGGAAGGGACTCATATTCCACCAACGAATGGACCCTTGAAGACAGGTGGGAAAAGAAATGCCCAATCCAAGAGCATAGGAGGTTTGATTTCCACTGAATTGGTCAATACCCATGAAAAGTGTAACAGGAGAAAACCTGTGAATAGGAGCTCGGATTTTTTATGGGAGGGTTAAGGTATGAACCAAACATAAATAAGTATCCAGATTTAGCTCACAATTTCCCTAAAAGTGGAGATAAAAATTGTGGCAAAAATCATAATGGACAGGCTGCTAACTCTAATACTACCAACTCAAATCAAGGGAAAACTAATCAATCTACATCTCATTTTCTTAAGGTATGTCATCAGAATATAAGAGGATTATCTGATAAAACCGAACAACTTT